TCGCAAATGGGTGGACAGCCACAAAGCAGGATAGGCACGACACAGTGAAAATGGATCCGGAAGAACAGAATACGCTGAGATGTGAAGTAACAAATGTATTTGGACATCTACTGAGACACAGATATTGTCCCGACCAGGAACACTGGCGAAGAGGTACAGAGTATGCTTTTCAAACATTCACGCAGATGAAGACGACGCCACAAGGTGGAGCTCCAGGCATTGAGGGTCCTGTTGTCGACGGACTGTGTACCATGTGTGGGTATGGACACAATAGGAAGCATATAGAAGCAGTAGATTTGGACATAGTAACCTGGTTAATGAACGAAGGGAAAATATTGGCAGGAATGGATAAAATAGAAGAAGGGGCTGAATGTAACACGAAGTGGAAGGAGTACACAGTTCACAAGATGAACAAGCATGGCACTGGAAAAGTGGACGAAACACAAATTCCTGAAATAAAGAAAGACGAGGAGAAACTAACGAAGGAGGCGGTGAAAACTATTGAAAAGGTTACAAAGGTAGTGGAACAGAAAATTCAAGAAATAGCAGGTAAGCACACGAATAGTAAGAATGCGCATAACAAGAACATACGGCCGCTACGAATATACGGCAGGTCCTCATGTAAACCATACGAATAGTACGGATGTCGCCGCCACAACAACACGCACGCACATGCGGGGAAACAACAACGCACGGCGGTGTGCAACAGCACGGCACACGGCTGCGTTGACGTTGAGCGACGACTGTGTAGACGACTGTGGAGTGTAGACCAGTGTGCAGCGTGCATGCATGTGGAGTGTACGGAATTTATGGATATAGCGGGATTATATGTGGATAGCTTGTTAGAAAAGCTTTAGACACAACCAGGAAAAAGCAAGAGGGGATGTGTATACGTTGTTCTCGTGACAAGTGCTGTCACTGTAGATGGTATTTTAGGGGGCGCTGCATCCCTATATGGGTTTGTGCTATATTCTACATAGCGTATGTTGTTATTATCATGTACATATTTATATTGCCAAAAAGGGCGATATTAATGAAGCGCCAGAATTTTTGTGGTAAAAACACAAAAAAAGAGAAGAATGTTACATTTTATAAAAATACTTGCCACATGTTATATGCATGGTAATCATAATGCAGTGTTTTTTATATGTAGGATATGAAATAATTGTTTCTTATATATGTGCAATATGGGGCGACTTTTCCCCTTTTTCTTCTAAAATGGGTTCCTCACACATAATATCAATAAATACATGATCATATGAAAAAATAATACAATATTAACACAAACCATGTATATTGATAAGAGCACAAACAAAAATCATAATGTACAAAACGGAACAATAAGATACATGCTATAAAGGACAACATCAGCCACATAATACATGCAAACATACAACATCATCACAGAGGTCAATCTAATAGGTATTCAAAAAATATATTATTGTGACTATACAGTAAAACACGGAATAATTACGTGTTCTTCGACTCCTCATTTACTCCTTTTGTTTCCGTTTCTGTGGGAGCTTCCTCCTTCTCCTTCTTCTTCCAAATTTTATCCAATAAACATTTCCCTGTCTTGGAGCGACAGAAACATACTAGCACGCAGGAATAAATAATTGGAATCAGCATGGAAGGTCCATACCTGCGCATGAACTGCGTAAAAGTGAATGGACCAACCATCACATAAAACATCGCAGGCAACATGGTTGCTCCTACATCGGACAGAAGTAATGGGTAAATAACTGAGAGTACTAATATAAGCGCCAACCATGCCTTTCTTCCCATTTTACAACGTTTCAATTTCTGACAACATTCCTTCAGCTTGTTCTTCGCTGTTCCAACCTGTGGCCTCTTCTTTACAGGTCCTGGATTCTTGACGTGCACCTTGGGTTTAAATTTTCTTCGCATGTCATCGAACAGTGTGTTCTTCACGGGACTACCCGTCACACGACCACCGTAAAAATTACGCTTCCCCCGCGTTCCCACGTCCGTTCCATCACTCAACGATACGGTTGTACTAGCATCCGTAATGCCATATTGGCTTGTGCCATTAGTCGATGATGTGCCCAGTGTACTCGCCTAAAATGTAACAAAAAAGGGGGAATATATGCGGGTGTTCAGCTACATAGAATGATGTAGAGCGTAAAAAAACTGAGCACGGGCCAGGTTTATAATTGTTATGAAGGAGTTGAGGGCTTATCACAATAAATGTGGTAACTGTCCCAAAATACAGTTGTTCGTATCATACACAGTGAGCAATTTGCCCAAAACACAGAAATAGAATAAATATAGAGAGCTTCACAAGCAGCGTCATTGTTTTTTTTTCTTTTCCGTTTAGTGTAGAAAATGTTAGAAGTGGCAATATATTGTTTGTATATATATGAATTATAGAATTGTTTTCTCCTTTTTCCACATCTAGGTGTATAGATTATGCGTGTGATACTTCTCCCTATTGGGCGCTAGTAAATATTGATAGAATAAATTTTGTACGAGGTTTACTATTCTTACCTAAGTATGTACACATGAATTGAAACAAGAATTCCTATGCAGAATGCTACAAATACAACATGAGGAACGTGCCACAGGAACGGATAAGAACCAGTTTTAGATACATATTGTACGACGGTAAAAGTTGACTAAAGGGGTCACCATTTTTCACAATGTCAGCACGGGCTCATCAATCATGTCGCCGTTTGAACGGTGTAATGGGGCCAAATTGTATAATCCGAGTGATGCAATTCTACATGTGAAGTAGCATCTTATCCTTTTAAACTGGATATAACGGTGAAGAGAATAAGCCGAAGAGAACCAATTATAGCCCGTTTTACATATACGAACGGCGAAATTTTTTTTTTTTTTGGTAAGTGTAGAGCCGCGGGCTCAAAGGTACATTTGTATCAGTGTTTTGGGGGGGTCATTATTCTGATGTATATACGGGCAAGATTATATATGTATCTTCATTGGAATTCATGCAATAGTCGTTTAGGTTGTTCCCATTTTGTTATATATGGTCACGAATAATGAACGTGAAAATATAGTTTACAAACTTATATACGTATACCGCCTTTTTTTCTTTGACAAAGCGTGAATAGATTTAATGAACAGTGTAAGGAGCATATATAAATAAAGGATAAGTGTAGTGTACTTGTGGGATTAAGGATTGGGGTTTAAGGTTTTCGGATTGTAAGATTTCAGGAATGTGAGGTGCCGCAATCCGGAGTTAAGATTCAGGATTCTCAGGCATCATGATTTGCGAGGTTCCGTAAACCGGATTTAAGATTCAGGGTTGAAGGGTGAAAGTTCAAGGGTTTATGCGTTTAAAAGGTTTAAGCCATTTAAGCGGTTTTGGGATTATGTTGTCAAGATTGTGCGGGTTAGCTTTAGGGTCTCAATGTTCACGGTTTAAGGATCGCAGTTTGACAGTTTAGGGGCTTTAGGGTATATGGCTTGTTTTTTTTTTTTTTTTTTCTTTTCCTTTTTTGCTTCAAAAATAAGCTTTCATAGTTACAACAATATATGCATATTGTGCTAGTATTACATACATATAAGGCCCTTGTGTGACCATGTATCTAATATATTGTGTCGCACAAGCCCAACGTTACTTGCATCAGATGTACGTGTATCAGCATTTTGGAACGCACGTCCGTATTGCGTTTTTTTGTTTTTTTTGGAGTAACCTCCAATCAGTGAAGTTGGTTATAGTTCCTTGTGGGAACAGTGCGGCAGTACCAACGCATGTGCATTTCCACTCGGTTATATTGTTGCGTTGTGTGTGTGTGCTTACTTTGCCAAGGAAAAAGGGAAGGATAAGGGAAGTGACGGATTCAAAGAACATAAGAACAGGGGAAGAAAGGAAGATGTCCTTTGCAGTAATGACGGGAGTAGTAAAATCTCCATCTGGCGCATCTGTGGTTCCTACTGGTGACTCAGGTTTCCCATATGGTCCATAGGATCCACCTACACCTACTGAATATATGCCAAAATTTAAGTCCAATCCCGGCTTATCATCTCTATTTATAGTGGGGGAACCCGATTTAGAGCACGTCCCTCCCCCTCCAGCTCCCGCAGGCGGACTTGGGGCACTGCCTCCGGAGGAAACAGAAGTTTGATCATTGCCAGTCCCGCCTTCAGCGGATCCGCTGCTACCCGCTTGATCTGGGTCCGGGTTCGGTTTGGGTTTGGGTGGATTGAGAGGAGGGGGGTCATCATTGCCAGCGTCCACCACCCTGGTCGTGTGGGGATCAGTGTGTGTAGTGTCTATACCCGTAGCAGGGGTACCTTGAGGCTGTGCAGTGTGTCCATCGGGGGATGCTGGTACCCGGTTCACATGCTCCGTGGTCTGGTCTGTGTGAGTGCCACCTGCTGGTGTTACGTCTGCCGATGGTCCTGGTGTGGGTGCTGCGTCTCCGGCTGCCGCTGCGCCCCCGGCGGCGGATGTTGCACCGGCGGCAACAGGTGACAAGGCGTCTGTGTGCGTGGAGTGTGGCGTTGATGTTGGTGCTGCGGCGGCAGGCTGGGGTGCTGCAGGTGCGGGCCGTGAATCCTCCTGACCGTTACCTGTCGTGTCCGGTGTATTTCCAGTACCTGTGAGTTTGAACGAAAAGGAAGAATATGGAAATAACTGAACTTTTGCAGCGGTGGTGGCACATGGTTGGTTGTCCACATGATCCGTCGCTTGTGGTTGGCCATGGTGCGAACGGTGGTTACGGTGCACCCGGGAAAAGACTCTCTCTCTATCCCACACAACACAACACACAGTGTGTGTGTCTGTGTCTGTCTGCGTCTACCGGTCGACGTCTCTAGGTCTCTCTACCGGGCGCGGTCGATCCGCGTGGCTGTGCAGCGAATGCCCATTCAACGTGGGGTTTCTCTCTCTCCGTGGTGTCTCTCTCTGTGTGTCCGGAAATTGTGTGTTTTTTTTTTTGCTCTTTGTTTTTGTTGTCGACATTCACTCAGGACACTACCTTCCTGTGGGTCCTGCGGTTTCTTGTCACAGTCATCATCGTTTTCCGACGTAGGTGCGAAGGAAAGGACGATGCTTGATGTAGCACCGGAGATGCCCATGCCTGTATTTGTTTCCTTAAATACCTGAGGCCCCTGTGTACACTTACCTTTGTTGTGTGCAACCTGGTCTGTACTGGTGCCTCCCGAGGATTGATCTTGTCCACTACTGTCTCCTCCTGCCGGTGCTGCAGGAGGTGCTGGTGTAGGTGTTACTGTTGTTGTTACTGGTGTTGTTTCTGATGTTGTGGGATCATTCCTCCCCACTGATGCTCCTCCCGATGTGGCGGATGTGCCCTCTGGTGTTTGTGCGGCTGACGTTGCTGATGGTGGTACTTGATGCTTATTCTTGGGGTCCTTACTGCCATGCTCCTTCTTATCGTTCGTCTCCGTAACAGCATTCGTCGGGGCCTTTGGTTGCTTAACTGGTGGAGCTTCCGGTTTCTTGCCTCCTGCAAATGATGCAAGGAAGAAAAAAGAGTAGATGATAAAAAAAAAAAGGGACACAAGTGGTACAGAAAGAAGGGGGCGGGACGGTGCGGGCAGGTAGCGGCACGGTAGGGTGCGACTCGGTGGACTGCGTACTCGGTGAACTTGGGCCAGATGGTAGGAGTACAACTTTTATTTGTCGCCGTCATCTCGTCCGCCCTCGTGCGGTGCATCCCTCGTCCGGTGCGTCGTCGTCGCGCGCGGTTGTACACCTCGTCGCGCGCTCCATCCCACGCACCACTGTGACGCCGCTACCGCTCCCGTCGTGGCCACCGCTCATCGCAGCCGTGTGCTGTTCCGCCGTGCGTGTGCGTTGTTGTCGCCGTGCGTAGTTCGCGTGAGTGTTGTAGCCGTTGCGTTGTTGTGGTGGCGGCATCCACATTCGGCAGTACGGAGTCGTGTTCGGCCGTATGATCTGTATTCGGCCGTATTTGTATTCCGTCGTATGGATATACCCGCGTTTATTTATATGTATATTTCTATGCTTACCATGCGTGTCGTCCTCATCACTTCTTGTTTCGTTCTTGCTATCATGTTGTGCTCCTCCTGGTTTCGTGGTTGGCGCATTGGGTCCCGCAGCTGCGTGTGTCCCCGATCCTGGCTGCCTTGCTCCTGTACCCGGTTGTCCAGTCTGCGGTGGTTTGCCTCGTCCTTCCAAGTGTTCACCCACCTTTTTCATTATCTCTTGCATTCCGCTTCCTATGACGTCTTTTATTCCTGTCTCCATTTTTTCCCTTACTTCCGTTTCTCCATAATTATCTGTATTTTCCCCCCGCGCCTGCCAGTTACCCTTTTCCTTTCTGTGAATCTTGTCTGCATTCTTCGGACACATTGTTTTAATTGCTGTATCCTGCACCCAGGCCCTTAAGTCCGTCTTCTGCTTTATCCACTGCTTAATTTTTGCCTTCATACTCCAATGCCCAAGTTTAACGTCATCTATGAACCCTTCGACACATTCCTCCGTTGTTATAATGTTGGTCGGCGTCCCGTCCATCTCCTGCCTCATGACGTGCCATGCATACTGTATCCCCCAGTGTCCCTCACATACTGTCTCCTCCAGTATATGCATGAATGTATTTACAATTGTGCACGCTATAAATTCTCTTAATTTTTGAACTCGTGCGTCCGTTCCTTGCGTAAAATGTAGTAAACCACTGGGGTCGGTTAGGAAGAATAGTGCTGTGGACATAATTTTGCACATAACCTTGGTACCGGGCCACGTAACTTTGTGCAAATAACTTGTTCCACTGTGGTAATAAAAACTGTTATTGCAGTTGCTCCCGTAGGTCTCCCAGTGGTCATTGTCCGCGACATATTCAATAAACCTCTGTAATATTTGTTGTATCTCTTCCCCCAGCCATCCCTGCATTTCAAATAATGCACATACATTCTTATGTACATTTCCTGTGCATCGTTTTTTCGTGCGGTTTCCCGATACCTACACGTAAGTATTGTCCCCTGTTACTGTATGAATGCTTCGTTCGCACTGTACTCAAATTAAAAACGTACAAGTGTGATGCATAAGTGCGATTCACGTATATTCTGCATACTGCATCGGTCGCTGCGAGTTTCCACAAATATCGCCCTCGGTCTCCCTCCACCTCTCAATTTTCTACCCGGTAATTAGTCCATTCCCCAGTTGGATGGTCTTTTCCCCTATACTCCCTCCATCCTCTCAGTATTTCATCCGTATTCATATTATACTCACTTTGTATAATACTATTCTATTTTGAGAGTAATACTATAATAACTTAATATGACTGGTTCCCCAACATTAATGTATCGCGCCGCACACATGTATGTCGTCCTTCGCATTTAAATCTAGAATGATGACAATAAATACATGTCCTCAAACATCCCGTATACTTCTTTACTTCTAATACTTCCGAAGCTCCTCCTGTACTTCTCGCACCACAAAAGAATAGAATGCACACAAAGAAAAAAGCAAAATCGAACGATAAAATCATAAAAAGAAGAAAAAAAAACAACAAAAAAGGAAGAAAAGCAAAAAAAATAACAACTGCTTACACACAACGCGTCAAGAATAGCCCGCCTCGCCCCTGTCTACACCGGTCTCCACTAAACGCCTGTCACACACACTGTCTCTGTGTGCGTACACCTAAAAACCCCAGTATAACAACCACATCAATTCTTCTTCTGCCGTCTCTGCCGTCGCTCCCGTCGCTGCCTTGCTTCCGCCGTCGTTGCCGATCCTTGTTGGCCCTCCCACATAATATGTGTTCCTCCGCTGCCCGTCCCCGCCTCTCTGTTCTCCCTCCCTGGATCCTTACTCTGCTACTTGGTCTAATCCGTCCTACACTCGGCGACAATCCCGTTTACCCGGCCGCGTTTGCTCGGTCACGTTGCTCGGAGAGACAATGTCTCCTCCTTCTTACACTCGGCTACGTCGTCAAATTCGTTCACTCGTCGACAATCCCCTGTACCCTGCCGCGTTGGTCGACGCGTTTGCTCGCAGAGACAATCTCTCCTCCGTCTTACACTCGGCTACGTCGTCGCCGCGACCGCTGCCGTCGTGACTGCACACGTCAGCTTAACGAGGGGGTGCTGTTCCGCCCGCGTGTGCGTTTTTGTTGTTGTTGGCGGCATCCATATTGAGCAATACGGTACGTAGCGGGTCGCGCGTTCGTTCTTTCTCCCATCTGTCCTTACCTGTCGGTACCTTTGGTGGTGTGGTTGCTGCGATGTCGGCGGCTGCTTTTGCGGCTACCTCCGCTATCAGTTCGTGTAATATTTCCTGCACTCGCTCGATTCCTTGTTTCATTTCTTTCTCTATCGCGGCATCCTTGTTGTCGTCTGCGTCGTCCACAGAAGGGTCTGGGGTTTCCGTCTCAGGTGATTCTGTTAATATTCCATGTTGTTCTCCAATGTCTGTCTTCATGTCATTCAAAATTTGTGTTACCTCCTCCCTTAGTTCATGTTCCTTCTGTTTGTCTTCCTTCTTGTCTTGTTCCTCCTGTTTCCCTCCGAGCTCTAGCTTTACGGTTCCTCCCGTACACCCATCGCTTAGTTTTTCCTTTGCAAGTTTCTTCTGCATGCTTGCATCCTGCTTTAGCCATGTCTTCATCTTATTCCTAATGTTCCAAGTGTTCAATTCTATAGTCTTGTACTTTCCCTTCTTACAATTCTGTCTTCCTAATTGATTTTCTAACGCATTTCCCATTATTTGTGTTGTGTACCAGGCGTAATATGTACCCCAGTGACCTTCGCATGCATTTGCCCGCAGTATGTCGTTATATACGTCTACTATTGTACACCTTATTAATCCCTTAATCTCTATATCGTTCTCGGAGTTCCCCTTTATGTCTTCCTGTGCAGCTTTACTCCACGCATTTGCAAAATATATCCCTTGCGTCATGAGTCTGCATATAACTCTTTCTGTGCGCCTGCTCATTTCCCTTTGTGGTTGGTTCTTCTGTCCGTCCTCTTTTGGATGCTCCCAGTATGCATTCTCACAGTTAATAGCATTGTGGTACTCACTGTCATCTTTCATATCCGTAATAAAAATCTCCATTTGTCTTTTTATATCTTCCCATAATTTACCCTGTGTTTACCACAATTCACATATATATGTGGTCGCACACTATTATTCACCAACCGTTGCAATCATGTAATTATAATTGGCCTTTGCTGCCTGTGACATGTAAATGTTCCGTATGCGGTACATATTAAGCACGCACATGTCCGACATGCTGGTGCCCTGTAGTATGCTGCTCTTATACACACATATGTGCGGCGTTTTTCACACGGCCGCACTCGGCCTGTATGTATATGAAATTACCTGATAGCCCTCATCTTCTCCCGGTAGCCTCCTATCCTCTGCGTATTTTCTCAATATTTTCGCTAATTCCTTATCCGACATACTGGTCCGTTCTGGATAAGCTCAAATAGTACACACCTGAGTATTGTCCCAATGTCCCACGTGAACTATATTAACCTTCACATGTCCCCTCTAGGCCTTGTTATATTCTTCCTTTACTACTTATGAGTAATTTGTGGCCTTAACACATAACATTGGAACTCTATATACAACAAAACCTTCATCTCTGCCTTGTGGGCAATCCGATTCTTCCACTAATATTAAATCATGCAGGACTTCTATATAGGTAATAAGAGAAAAATGCATATATAAAAAGAAAAAGACAGAACAACAGGTAACAAAAAAGGGCAACAACAAAAAAAAAAAAAAAAAAGAGCATAAAAAAATTGAAAAAACACTACACACAACGCGTCATGAATACACCTGCCGCCCCCAGTCTCCACTAAACGCCTGCACACACACGGTGTCGCGGTGTGAGTACACCTAAAAACCGCAGTAACAACATCAATTTCTTCTGCCGTCGTTGCCGCCGTCCGTCGCGCGTTGTTCGCGTTCCCACATAATATGTGTGTTCCGTCCTTCTCCGTCTGCTCTCGCGCTGTGTGCTCCCTCACGCGAATCCTTCCGTCGAACCTCCTTACTCGGCTACTTCGTCGAATCGTTCTTACACTCGGCTACTTCGTCCAATCCTTGTTACAATCGGCCGCTGTGGTCGACCCCTTTGCTCGGAGAGACAATCGCTCCTCCTGCTTACACTCGGACAATCCGTCGAATCCGTCTTACCCTCCGGGGCAATCCGTTTACCCGGTCACGTTTGCTCGGTCACGTTGCTCGGAGAGACCATCTCTCCTCCTTCGTACACTCGGCTACTTCGTCGAATCGTTTACGCGAACGCCGTAATCGAACCGCTTCACTCGGCTACTTCGTCGAATCGTGCTTACACGCGGCCGCGTTGCTCGACGCGTGTGCTCGGAGAGACAATCCTCCTCCTTTCGTACAATGCGCTACTTCGTCGAACTGCTTCACTCGGACAGTCGTGTGTACGCGGCCACGTGTGCTCGCAGAGACAATCCTCCTCCTTTCGTACACTCGGTTACGTCGTCGACGCGTTTGCTCGCAGACAATCTCTCCTTATACTCGAATGCGCGTTCGCATGCTATATGTGTTCTGCACTATACCCTTCGAATGAACGTGCTCAGCTGTTAATAATTAATTTCCCATAAAGGAGAATATTACCCCTTCATATTATTCATTTAAATCTACATTTTATATGCATTTGACGTGTACCATCCTGTCCCCATGGTCATGTTAAAAGAAGTTCACTAGATAACAAGAAAGAAAACAAGGCAACAGTGAGCACAAGCAGAACAGAGCAGCAAAAAAAAACAAGAAGGTATAGAATAATGCAAACACGAAATATGGTATGTATATCACATAATGAAGTAAAAGTGGTGTGCGGGTAGCATGCGTTATTTCACATTCATATGCCCCGTCATGCTAATGTGAAAACTGTTGCAATAGGTCATCCACATATAACTCCGTCTGCTGCATGCTACTCTCGACTTCGCTCTCTTCTATGACTAATGCCAGGATCAGTATCCATATTTGAGCGGTTACCCGTTTTTTCATGTAAGGTTGCCGATGCAGTTGCGACCTTGGAACATCTCTCACTCTTAGCATATCTGCTGTTCCCATTACTTTGTCCACTTCTAAGTCGTTTTCCACTCCAGGTACTGCGCGTGTGTCCGGTACTGTCGCCGCCACATTATTCAACAAATGTTGAAACCACTCCTGCGCGTCATACATACTCATTTGCCGATGTTGTTGCGCTACCCATTCTTTCCACAAGTCCAATTTCTGCATCGGCAGGATTGCAGCTTCACCGAGTTCACGCTGCCCGGATACTACGTTGTTTGCGTCTGCCGCCATGTGCTGATGCAGGTGTTGTTTCCATGCCAACGTTAGCTGCAAAAACCACGGCTGCGTCGTGCACGCCTGCAATAGGTGCTTGTTGCGGTCAATCCAGTTAATCCAATTAATGTCGTCGGGGGCGGGCAGTTCATTGCCGGGGTCGGAAGAGTATGCAAGGGAAGAAGGACTCTCTTCTTCTTCTAACTGTATGGTTTGCATGCAACTCCATGGATCGGGGTCGTCTTTGGTAGGTGGAGAAGTGTCCGTTGCTAACGGTATAGTTTCCATACTACTGCAAGGATCGGGGTCCTGTGCGTTAGAAGCAGAAGTGGCCGCTGCTAACTGTATGCTTTCCATACAACGCCATGGATCGGGGTCATTCGGTGGACAAGGGCCCATGTCGAACGGTATGGTTTCCATACAACTCCATGGGTCATCTTCGTTAGGGCGACAAGGGTCCGTTGCTAACTGTATAGTTTCCATACAACTCCATGGATCGGGGCCATGTGGTGGACATGAATTCGTTTCTAACTCTGTAGTTTCCATACAACTCCATGGGTTATCTTCGTTAGGTGGACATGGATCCATGCCGTCGGACTCAGTGGATGGAACATGGTTCCCTGGTAAACCCTCGTTTGGGATAGCAGTATCCGGGAAACTACTATGTCCGTGGTTGCCCCCCATAAACTCTTCAACGAGTATTTGCAAATAGTCGTCTTTGACGTTTTTCCATTCGGTTGCTTCACATTCGTTGAGCACTTCTAGATGTAGCTCAATGATCGTGCGCTTATGCACGCGTGGATGACGTCGTCGTCGTTGGGCGGGCAATCTGCCGGGCTGCCTATCCCGAATCATCGTGTAACCGTAATCGGGTGGTGGTAGTTCGCCGCGTTGTAGATGGTCTAGAATTTCTTCGTCGAGTGGCGGTGACGGCACGTCACGAACGGTTCGATAGGTTCGTCGTCGTTTGTGTCCGAGGAAGGCAAAATACTAAGCAAAAAAAGAACGAGGACGATGTAGAAGAGTGCATGTGGCTTAGAATGATCGTACAAAACATCCCGGTGGGAACACATTGCTAATGGTACATATGACGGTTATGTATACACGGTGTCCCGTGTAGTATGTGCGTTGTGTTTGCTTACCTTGCCAAGAAAAAAGAGCAGGATAAGAGAAGTGACAAATGCAAAGAAGATAAGAACAGGAGTAGAAAGTAAGATGTCCGTTGCAGTAAAGATGGGGGGGATATTATCATCAAACTCATTAGTTGATTTCCCCACGGGTGTAACAGGTATTCCATAAGGTCCATAGGATCCACCTACACCTACTGTATGTTTCCCAAAGTCTAAGTTCAAGCCAAACTTGTTTGAAGGAGAGGGTGATGGTTTTGACTGAGATTTCTGGGAGCCAGTGTCCGCTTGCTTACCGGCTGCCGCACCAGTAGCAGAACTTGAACTGGAGCTTGAACTAGATGATGAACTGGAGGAACTTCCACCTCCTCCTCCACCACCAGCAACATCTGGTAGACCGCCGCTGCGGTTCTCAGAACTCCCTGCGGTACTACCTGGGTCTTGGACGCCGCCGGGGCTCCCTGAGCCGACACTACTACCCGATTGATCGGGGTTCGGGGTCGGTTTTGGTTTGGGTGGATTGAGAGGAGGGGGGTCATCGTTGCCGCCATCGACGACGGCACCCCCACCACTGACGACGCTATCAGTGGCAGCTTTGTCCTGGTTATCAAGGGTGGGGGATCCCTGGGATGCGGGGTCGGGTGCTGGTCCTGTGGGTGCGGTGTCCCCACCTGATGCGGGCTGCGCGGGTGCTGCTTCCGTTGCTACTGGTGGCGGGGTGGGTGCTGCTGGTGGTGGTTCTTGTGCTGGTGTTTGTGAATCCGGTGTAGGTTTGGTGTGTACTCCTTCAGGTCCTGAGGGGAAGTGTAAGGGAAGAGGGAAGATGATGAAACTGACGTTTTCAGCGGTGGTTGTTGATTGACTAGCGTTGACCACATGGTCGGCAACCGATGGTCTGCACCACAGTGCCAACGGTGGTTACGGTGCAGGTGCCACCCCGGGAAAAGACTCTCTCTCTGTCCGACACACAACACACACAACACACACAGTGTGTGTGTCGATGTCTGTCTGTCGACGTCGACGTCTACATCCCGCGGCCGACCAGTTGCGCGCGCTGGCCGCCCCGTCGCTCGGCCGGGCGCTCACTCTCATTCGACGTTTGGTTTCTCTCTGCCCCGCTCTCCGTGGTGTCTCTCGCTGTCGCCGGAAAAGTGGTGTGTGTGTAGTGTTGTGTTTGTTGTGGATATTCACTCAGGACACTACCTGGTCCCGAGTCTTGGGGCGTCCTGTCACATTCATCACCAGTTCCGGAACTCGGTCCAAAGGAGACAAGTGTCTCTGACGAAGAAGCATAGATTCCGCTGCCTGCATTCTTGGTCACGGAAACTGTGGGTTTACTTCCACACTTACCTGCTTTGTCTATATCCTTGCCCTTCGGTTGCACCTTCGTACCATCTCCCGCTGTCGCTGATCCTTCTGCTGGTGCTGGTGCCGCAGGTGGAGGTGGTGGTATGGATCCCGTTTCGGAATCATCGGACCTTCCCACTCCATCTGCCCCATTCACTGTTGCCGGCCCTTTCTTCTCAGGAACAACCTCCTTTGGTGCCTCTGGTACCTTAGCTGGTGGATCTTCTGGCTTCTTCGGTGGTGCCACAGGAACTGTTTTCTCTATAAAAGGATAATAATTATTAGGATTGTACGTGCATTCTCCCGTGCATCAGATAACAATATGAGGAGAGCAGAGGTAAGGTATGCCTGCGTGCAACCCACACAGACTTCCCAGGTGTGCACGCTTCCTTCTGTTCCTTCCTCGTTTCCTGCTTGCTTAATGTCTACATGCACTCTTTCTCACCGCCGCTCCATGCGTCGTTGTGGTGGCCGCTCCATCCCCACGCACCATTGTGACGCCGCGGCCGCTGCCGCACACACACACCTCGTCTACACTCGTCGCCGCTACGGCTATGGATATCGCTGCCGTCGTCGCCGCTCATCGCTCGGCAATTCTACGGTCGACTCAACGAGAGGGTGCTGTTGTGGCTGCCGTGTGCGTGTTGTTGTGGTGGCATCCATATTGAGCAATACGGTACGTAGCGGCCGCCTATGCGTGCTTTCTCCCATCGGTCCTTACCTGGCGATGCCTTTGATGGTGTGGTTGCTGCATTGGCGGCGGCTGCTTGTCCAGCGGCAGTCTGCGCGATAATTTCGTTTAATTCGTCTTTCACTTCCTCGATTGCTTGTTGTATTTGTTTCTCGATGTCTTCAGCGTTCTTTTCGTCTGCGTCTGCCCCAGAAGGGTACGTGGGTGCCTTCCCAGGTGACGCCCTTAATTGGTCCTGCTCCTTCTCCATTTCTGTCTGAACCTCGCCCAAAATCTTCTCTGCTTGCTGCTTTACTGTGTGTTTCATTTCGTCATCTGTCTTGTGTTCAGCCTCTTGGTCCTCTATTGCTCCGGCCTTTTTCAGTTGTTCCCTAGTCTTTACCTCCCTTCCCGTACACCCTTCGCCTATGTGTTCCTGCTCAATTTTCTTCTTCATCTGTTCATTCTGCTTTAGCCATGTCTTCATCTTATTCCTAATGTTCCAAGTGTTCAATTCTATAGTCTTGTACTTCCCCTTCTTACAATGCTGTTCCCTGACTTTATGCTTCAGCGCTCCCGATATTTGGTCCACGACGTACCATGCATAGTATGTACCCCACCAACCCTCGCATGTGTCTTCCCTCAGTATGTCTTGGTATATATCCGCTATTGTGCATCTTATTAGCCCCTTAATATCGTGACTATGTGTATCGTGGCCTATGTTTTTCTTTACTTCCTTAGTCCATCCGTTCGCAAAGTATATCGCTTGCGTCATGAGTCTGCATATAACTCTTTCTTTGCTCCGATTCATCTCCCTTGGTCGTTGGTCTTTCTGGCCGTCCTCTATTGGATGCTCCCAGTATGCATTGTCACAGTTCTTAGCATTTTGGTACTCACTGTCATCTTTCATATCCGTAATAAAAATCCCCATTTGTCTTTTTATATCTTCCCATAATTTACCCTGTGGTTACCAGAATGCACATATATATGTGGTCTCACACTATTATTCACCAACCTTTGCAATCATCTAATTATATTTGTCCGTTCCTTGCTGCCTGTTACATGTAAATGTGCCGTATGCGGTATATATGAAGCAAGCACGTGTCCGACATGCTGGTGCCCTGTAGTATGCTGCTGTTGTACACACATATATACTGCCGTGTTCACACAGCCGCACGCGGCCGGTATGTATAGGAAATTACCTGAAAATCCCCAGTATCCATCGTGAGGTGCCTAGCGCTCGCATACCCCCTCAATATACTCGCTAACTCTGTCGGCATTCTTGTCGCATCATAACAACATGGAAAAGATCAGTGCTGGCAGAATCCGTATACTGTTCTGCATATCTTGCACAAGTGCATTACGTACAATGTCTACGTATCCAATGTAATCCTGTAGAGTCACAACACATGAAAATTCGTCCTAAGGGAACTCCAGCGTGCACGGTAAGAGACGGGGGTATGTAGCACAAAAAGCATATAATCTCTGGCTACATGTACACTCGTTATTCTTATATTAAGAATAAGGAACACTAAAAACAAAAATAATCAATACGTGTAACAAGAAAAAGACAAATAAGACAGTAATAAAATAAATAAAAAAAAACAAAAAAACAAGGAGCGAAACAACAAAAACTAGAGTAAACAACAAAGGAAAACAAAAGAACGAAAAAAAAAAGACACACAAAAATAGAAAAAAGTACTACTACACTACCGTACACACACAACGCGTCATGAATACCACCCCTTGCCCCTTGTCTACACCGGTCTCCACGAAACGCCTGTCACGCACACTGTGTCTCTCTGTGCGTACACCTAAAACTCCGCAGTAGAGCAACAACATCAATTTGTATCGTCGTGGTCGCCTTCCGTCCCGCGGCCACTTCGTCGAATCCGTCTTACACTCGGCCGCGTTGCTCTACGCGTTTGCTCGGAAAGACAATCTCGTCCTTCTTACACTCGGCTACTTGGTCAAACCGCGTTTGCTCGGAGAGACAATCTCTCCTCCTTCTTACACTCGGCCACTTCGTCGAATACGTTCACTCGGACAATCTCCTTTACCCGGCCGCGTTTGCTCGGAGAGACAGTCGTCCTCCTTCTTGCACTCGGATACGTCGTCGACTCCCTTTACACGGAGACAATCGCCTGTACCCGGCCGCGTTTGTTCGGAGAGACAATCTCTCCCTCCGTCTTACACTCGCCTACTTCCTCGAACCCCTTCCTCGAAGCTGCTTACGCGGCCGCTTTGGTCGACGCGTGTGCTCGGAGAGACAATGTCTCCTGCGTCTTACACTCGGCTACAATGCGGTTTACGCGGCCACGTTTGCGCGGAGACAAGCGCTCCGTATACTCGAATCCTTATTCGCATGCTATGTGTGTGCTGCACTATACCCTTAGAATGCACGTGCTCAGCTTTTAATAATTAACTTCACATAAAGGAGAATTCTACCCCTTCATATTATTCAGTTGAATCTACATTGTATATGCATTTAACCGGTACCACCGTGTCCGCATGGTCATGTTAAAAGAAGTGGACTACACAGAAAAAGAACAGAACAAGGCAAAAGTAAGCACAAGTAAGCAGAACAGAGCAGAAAAAAAAAAAAGAAGGTATGGAATAGTGCAAACAAGGAATATATGATGTATATCACATAATGAAATAAAAGTGGTGTACGAGTAGCATGCGTTATTTTCCATTCATATGCCCCGTCATCCGAATGTCACAGTTGCTGCAATAGATCATCTACATATAACTCCGTCTGCTGCAAACGGCTGTCAACCTCGCACTGTTCTATGACTAATGCGAGGATCAGTATCCATGTTTGAGCGGTTAACGGTTTTGTCATATGAGCTGGCTGCTGCAGCAGTTGCCGGCGTGGTACATCGCTCACTCGTAGCATATTTGCTGCTGCCGTTACTTTGTCCACTTCTAAGTCGTTTCCCACGCCAGGTATGTCGCCTGTTGCCGTAACCGTGTCCTCCTCTACATTATTCAACAAATGTTGAAACCACTCCTCCTCACTATATGTATTCATAAGGTCATGTTGTGTTGCAACGCATTCTTTCCATGCGTGCTTCTTGCTGTCCATGGTTGCGGCTGCACCGAAGTCACGCCGCCCGGATACTGCGTTAGCCGCGTTTGCCGACATGTGCTCGCGCAGGTATTGTTTCCAATCCGCTGTTAATTGCAGAAACCACGGCTGCGTCGTGCACGCCCGCAGAATATGTTTGTTGCGGTGAATCCAGTTAATCCAATTAGTGTGGTCGGGGGCCCGTTTTTCATTCCCCGGGTAAGGGGATGGAGGGGAAGAAGGAGTCTCTTGTTGTTCTAACTGTATGGTTTCCATACAACTCCATGCATCGGGGTCGTCTGTGTTAGGTGGACATGGGTCCGTTGCGGACTGTACGTGTTCCATACAACTGCATGAAGCGCAGTCATTAGGTGGACAAGGGCCCGTTTCTAACTGTATGGTTTCCATACAACGCCATGGATCGGGGTCGTGTTCATGCGGTGCACAAGGGTCCGTTGCGGACTGTACGTGTTCCATACAACTCCATGGATCGGGGTCATGTGGTGGACAAGGGTCCGTTGCTAACTGTATGTGTTCCATACAATTCCATGGATCATCTTCGTTAGATGCAGAAGTGTCCGTTGCTAACTGTATGGATTCCATACAACGCCATGGATCGGAGTCATGTGCATTCGGTGGACATGGATCTGTGCCGGCGGAGTCAGTGGGTGGATCGAGGGTGGATGAAACATTGTGCCCTGATAAAGCCTGGTGTGACGTAGAAACACCCAAGATACTGTTAGTCGTGTCGTCGTCCCGCAGCAAATCCTGCGCAAACGCCTGCACGACAATCTGCCAATAGTCGTCTTTGACGTGTTCCCACTCGGTCGCTTCACATTCGTTGAGCACTTCTAGATGTAGCTCGATGATCGTGCGGCGATTCACGCGTGGGGCGCGTGGTCCGCGGCGTGCGGCGGGCAATCTTCCGGGCCGCCTATGCCTAATCATCGTGTAGCCGTAATCGCGTGGCGGCAGGTCGCCTCGTTGTAGATGCTGCAATATTTCTTCGTCGAGTGGCGGTGACGGCACGTCACGAACGGTGCGAAACGTTCATCGTGGTTTAGCGCCGTACGCAAAATACTAAGCAAAAAAAAAGACAAAGAAAAAAGGGCGGATGAGGTGAATTCATTTGTGTTAGAATAATGATACAAACGCGCTCTTAGAAACACACTGTTATGGTACATATGACGGATACTCATACACGGTGTTACGTATATACTTACCTTCCATAGGGAATAACCAAGGAGGGCGACGGTGACGGCGGACAGGAAGAAGAGTACGGGAGTAGTGGCGGTAAGGACGGTGTCGGTTAGGTCCGGAACAGC